GTCTCGCAAACTAGATTTCCGTTAGTTGATGTATATCTCAGTTTTTGATGATGATGAGTTTGGGACGGACATGATGATGATATGATATTCTCTAAACATCAAATCCAACAGTGTGCTTCTCTAGTAGGTGATTTTTAGATGGTGTGCTGGGATGCGAGTTGATATCGCAAATGAGTTGCGTGTTAATCACTAAAACTGACCTTTGTCTCCGGCTGGACCAGGTGGACCTGGTGGTCCTGAAGGGCATGGTTTGCATGGTGCTGGTGTTGGCTCTTCGCATATTCTGAAACAAAGATTGACATATTTCTCCGTCTGATTTTTCAAAAAAAAATTTTTTTATCTCGTGTATTCGGAGAAGCTGACAATGAGATTAAATTTCCGTTTATTTGAGAGATAAAGTAGAACGAACTGCTCTAATGAATGCATATAAAACATGCTTTGTGCGAGGAATAAGCACAAAGCAGCGCACTGCTCACCTTGGTGGTCGTCCAGGGAATCCTTGTGGACCTTCTGCACCCGGACGTCCCGGTATGCCGTCCTTGCCTGGTGGTCCGTCGGGACCACGTGGTCCCGGTAGGCAGCAGCCTGTAATTGTTTTGAATGATGCTCATAAAGCAAGCTATGCTTAGCAGTATTACTCATCGCTTGGTACCATATTGCGCATCTGCCTCTACACATTCTTTTGCTTTCTTCAATCGGAGAGTAGAAGCCCTCTTTGAGTAAGTTTCACTTGATGAGCATGAATAAGATGTTGGGACGTGCAATGTAAGTTTGATGAGATTCAGATAGTGTTTTGTAATGAGTGGACGACGACAACATACCCTCGCATCCACTTTGCCTTTTGATACGTGTATCGTTCAGTGGGAACATCTTCTGATGTGCGTTGTGTAGGGGTGAAGCACGGAACTCTTGTACTTCCATCATTATGTCGCGAGCCGACATCTGAAATGCACATGCTTTGTCTGGCTGATTTTCGCATTCTTCTGCTCTCCTTCAAGTTCTGCTCAATTGAAAGCGCGTGTCAAAAGAGATTGAAACATGAAAATTTGTTGCAATGCTGCTTACAATTCATAGCACTGAATAGGATACTATCGTTTG